AGTTATGATCCTCCACAAGATTGTACCTGGCATTGGAGAAAATTGATGAAACTTAAAGATGAGTTGAAAACTGCAGTAGTAAATGGAAGCTGGATAGGAAATGCTGGCAAACCATATGATACAAGAAGTGGTTATATGTGAATTAGAGGAAGAAGGGAGCAGTTCAAACCAACAGCAATCTGTTGGAGTAAGTTCTCTATTCCTAAACATAGTTTTATCTCTTGGTTAGTTTGGAGAGGCAGATTGTTAACTAAAGACAGATTACGGCATATGAAGATCAATGTTACTGATCAGACTTGTATCTTGTGTCAAGAAGAGAAAAAAACAGGTAGTCACTTGTTCTTTAAATGTTCCTATGCACAGAAGCTGGTGAATGGCATTACTCAGTGGCTTGGACTCGGAACAGAAATCAAGAATTTGTCTGTTGCAAGATTGATGCATCTGGAAGTACAAGGCTGTTAAGAAGCAAGTTCTGTTTTCTTGTTTGAATGCTGTGGTATATCATACTTGGAATGAGAGGAATTTAGGGCTATTTCAAATGAGAAATGAGGATACAGAAACAAGAGTAAGAAGGATTCAGCAGGAAGTGAAATGTAGGACTATACATTTGTATAGAAATGGTAGTGGAGATGATGTCCGATTTTTGGAAAGTATTGGTATTGTAATAGCTTGATCATACTTTGTACAGTTGGAGTGTTCAAATGGAATACAATTCTCAGTTTACCAAAAAAAAAATTCTGTTGGACTGTGTAGCACAAAGGCAAAGCCCAACTCGAAACGATTAATGCAACTAGCCTATTCACTTCCCTCTTATCAAAGACAAAAAAACAAAATCCCCACCGAAAATCTGGTCAAAGTCATCAAAAGGATAGAAACCCTAATTAAGCCACATGATAGTAGTTGGCATATGAAAATACTGATGAGGATCAAGGAACTACTTCACAGTGGCATTGATCAGTGCCAATGGTTAGGGAAAGGTGGCAAAACTTACACTGCACAGGGGGGATATTATTGGATCAGAGGACAAAAAAGTAAAAGCAAAGCAGCCAAGATCAATTGGAGTCAGTTTAGTATCCCTAAGCACAGCTTTATTGGCTGGCTAGCTTGGAAAAAGAGGCTGATCACAGCACAGAGGCTGCGGGAACTGCAAATACTAGTGGATCACTAGGAATGCAGTATTTGTGGGAAAGAATTGGACAGTGTAGATTATCTATTCTTGAAATGTGTTTATGCACAAGATCTGTTAAAGGGTTTGAAGACTTGGATGGGAATCAGGAATGACATCTCAGAATTGAATGTGCAAAGGTGGCTGAAAATATGGCAGGGAAATGCACTGAGGTAGAAAGTGTTGTTTGCTGGCATCAATGCTCTCATCTATGGTGTATGGATGGAAAGGAATGAATGCAGATTCGGACAGAAAGAGATGAAGGCAGAGGTGACATTAGAGGACATAAAACGGACAGTGAAATGGAGCATTCAATCTAAATGCAAGACAGTGAAAAGCAAGAATCAGAAATGGCTAGCTCAGATTGGTATTCAAGTGCAAAACTTTTGAAGATGTAATAGATAGGAGATGGTACAGTTTCAGTTATTGATTGGAGAGTAATATAATGATTAACAGTTTACCAAAAAAAAAACCCTAATTAAGCGTACCAAAGTAAAAGCACAGAAACCCTAAAGTTAATCACTTCATTTCCCTCTGTCCAAAGATTTGAACATTGAAACTGGAAAAATTGGGCAATCTCCTGACATGCTTTGTTGAGAAGAAAAGATTTGAAAAGCCCAAAATCAAGAGTAGATCCGGCGGCGATGATGATGATCAAGACGGAAATAATAATTACATACCGGAGTGGTTATTGTGCGAATTGTTGAGCAAACTTCCGATTAAGGATGTGTTTAGGTTTCAGTGCATCTCGAGAGAGTGGTTTTCTATCATATCTCGGGAAGTCTCACCGCCAACTTTTGTCTTCTTTCCCTCAATACTTGTATTGGATGATGAAGAAGATCCTGAAATCCGCGGCGCCGAAACAGAAATGGGAAAACTTCCACTGTGTTGTAAACTTGCTTTCAAATGTAAACTTGTTTTACCTAGTTTGAAAGCAAGTTCAAAAGTCAAGAAACTCGATATCGTGGCAGTAGACAAAGAGTTTGTTTTGTTGAAAGCGGGGTTGAAGTTGAAAGGGTTGAAGGTAGGGTTACTTTGATTGGAGTGTTGAGTATTATATTTGCAATGCTGACACAAAGCAGTGGTTTATGATTTATTCGGGTATGAAAATTTCCTACTGTACTAATATGGGGTTAATTACACATGTTGAGGATGGAGTTTTGATGAATTTTAAAGTGGTAACTGTTTTTTTTTTGGTGGAAGACTCCTCAAGGTGCACGTGTTTTCTTCAGAAACAGGAAGATGGGAAGAACTGTCCATTGAAAGTCCAGTTGAATTTTCTACATTTCATAGATCGGTCCTCGTGGAAAACACTCTCTATTGGCCGAGCAAGGATGGAAGAAGAATTTTAGCCTATGATGCTTACGCCAATCTTTATAAAGTTGACATTTTTGATACTCCAATTGATGATTGCAGGTCTGAAAGGAGTTCTTTCGGTTGCAGTAGTTATCAAGGACGTCTCAAATATTTCAAATGTACTATCTCCGGAAGTCAATATTATGTGACTTTGAAGATATGGGATCTTCATGACCTAAAATCATTATGGAGCAATATTCCAATCAGTATTCCAATGGTTTCCTCCATACGATCCGAATTTGCTCTGTTTTAAATGGAAAGGATCCAACATCATGGTTTCTTGCAACATAAATCTTGGAGCATGGAGTTGCACACTTTGCAGACAGGTTGGCCTTCCACTGTTAATTATGGTTTCCATCAAATACTCCTTCCGACCCGTCTCCATTCCACATTCTCTCATGTTTAGGAGCGAATGGATTGATCATTCATCATAGATGGATCATTAAGGTAAGTGTTATCAATGATTCACTTCTAAATAGTGTAGTTCCTTAGGCTGAATGATAAGAACTATTTTGTGCCACTAAGTTATGTCTTTGGGGGCATTTTTACATTCAAATATGTGAAGGGATTTTTGCTTTGATTGTCTGTTTACCGTTTTCAGTCCTCTTCTTGCTGTTTGTTTGTTTATATTTTTAGCATACAAAACTCGAAGTATCTTTTGTAGTTTATACAATATTTTCTCCGTCCTAAAATTATTGTTCAGTTTGAATTTTTATATTTAATACAAATTAAAGTAAAGGTGAAAATCTAAACATACAATAATTTTAGGACAAAAGGATTACTATTCAGGGTCTTTTAGGTATCATTTGATAATTCACCAAAGCCAAAACAAGTAGCAAGAAACAAGGGCTTTTAGTAAGTCGCTCAAACTGGCAAAATGTCCACTATCAATTTTTTTTTTTTTTTACTAGGATGTGAACATTTTGAGGCAACCGATTGCAAACATTCTCGGTTTTATCTTTGAAATTTATCTTGGACAACCCAATAAAGAAATTAAACGGAATGGATTTGCCCAGTATTACTCAAATTTCCTTATGAATATGTATCCAAGGGCATTCTACTCGACACGCAAACTATAGATATTGTAAAATTAGCAAATTTTCTTCATCACTTCCAAAGGTAGGAAATGTGATGGTTTTGCATGTGAAGTTCATTGCTCATTTGAAAATGAAATCTAGAGTACTAGCGACCAAACCATTAACAATTAATTAGACAATCTTTTATTAATTAATTCCAGAAAGGAATGCCGGATCTAACACAACCTCATCAGCATACGAGTTCGCATCGTTCTAGTCCTTAATTTGCTTCCAAAAATAGAAGACAATCCTCACTACAGGAAATCATCTTATTTTAATTGTGCAGTTTGTTATAAATTTAGTTCAACAAAATACGAATAAAAAAACTATGAAAAGCCGGACAAAATCATGTAATTTCGGTGGAAAGAATTTACTTCCCTGTCCCAAAAATCAAATCACAAATTTCAAAATGGGACTGGCCTGGGAATATGGGATGGAGGGGAGCAAGAGTAAATGAGGAATGAAAGTTTTTTTTTATTTTTTTTATTTAACGGATCAATAGTAGTTCTCCACTTATTCCGGTGTGACTCAAACCCATGACCTACTAGAAATAGGGGAGACGTCTTACCACTAAACTGCACCTCATTGTTATGTGAGACAAAAGAATATTATTGTACATTCTGGTGACACCACAAAACCAAAAGATATGCCAATCCCTACGAATTCTGTTGTTGTTCTCCCTTCATGATTCTATGTGTCCAAAGCAATCAACTTGCTTTCTGTTTTAACGCCGCCGGCTCGAATGTGACAAGTTACATATGCTCATGAAGTCATGGTCGTACGTAGCTGGTAAAATTCGAAAAATAATCAATAGAGACTGTTCTCTTGTATGTTCTATTCTTAATATTATTCTTTCTCCACCGGAAGTCCATCAAGATACATACTAATATTAATATTGGCAGAACAATTCCTTTTTATTAAAATCGGAGGTAATAACATTTGCTGACCTTTCTTCTCTGTCGATCAAAGTTGCCAATCAATTACGGCAATACGTCTGTTTATAAAATTCAAATTGAATCAGTTAATACATCTGCATTAAATCAAACAAACCTTCATGATAAAAGTCACTATGTGCAACAAATTTACCTGCTAATTTGTCCATTAACTTTTGATCTTCAGGTCGGAAGGAGGGTCAACTTTTTGCAATATATAGTAGAGTATTTGTCCTTATTTTGTCTTTCACTCGCTGCATTTGCCTGCACGTTCGCCAAAATTTTTTGACTGAATTGGTCTAATTGGTGTTTCTTTTGCAAAAACTAAAAGTATCACAAAGGGACATCTACATCTATATATATGTGAGGTCTTCTAATTGAGGTTGCATCAAACTTCTAAGTAAACAAACACATATCGCGAATTTGTCATCTGTTTCACCTTGCAAATCTAATCCGTCTACAATTTCGGAAATGGAGAAAAAAGATGATCAATTTGAAGAATTTTTCCAAACATTGCCCCATAAGCATGCATGCGGCACTGTGTTTGCTAAATACAAAGGCTTCTGGTTTGCTGCAGATTTTCTTCATGGCGTAATAACGTTCCGCGACCACTTTGAGTCCCGAGATTCAGACATCATCTTAGCTACCATGCCTAAATCAGGCACCACTTGGCTTAAAGCCCTAACCTTTAGCATTATTAACCGAAAAAAGTATTCGGTTTTGACTAGCCCTTTGCTTTTCAACAACCCTCATCTAATTGTCCCTTTCTTTGAAGTTGATCTATACAATGGTGGAAAAATTCCTGACGTGAAATCTATCCCCAACCCACGAATTTTCTCCACTCATGTGCCATTCCAGTGTCTTCCAAACACGATTTTAAATAATCCGAGCTGTCGCATTATCTACCTTTGTAGAAACCCTTTGGATGTATTTACATCCACAATACATTTTCATTTACAAAATGGTTTGTTTCCTCCAGGTCCGGAATCCATTATCATGGATGGAGCTTTTGAATCATTTTGCAAGGGGATATTTCAATATGGTCGATTTTGGGACCATATCTTAGAATATTGGGAAGCAAGCGTAAAGGATCCAAAGAGAGTTCTGTTCTTGAAATATGAAGACCTTAAAATGGATATCAATTCTTGTGTGAAGAAAATGGCTGAATTTTTGGGATGTGAATTTTCACCACAAGAAGAGGATGAAGGATTGATAGAAGAAATAGTAACGCTTTGCAGCCTAAAAAGTTTGAAGAACTTGGAATGTAACAAAAGTGGGGAGGCGTCAGGTTTTGTTCTAAAAGTTTCCCATAGTTCTTTTTTCAGGAAAGGAGAAGTCGGTTTGGGCGAATTTCCTAACTCCTTCCATGGCTGAACGTCTTGAAAGCTTGATGAAAGAAAAGTTTGCCGGATCTGGTCTGACTGTAAATATTCATGGCTAAAATGGTGTGCGAGGGAGCAGTTATGTTAGCCATTTTCCACACTGCACAACTTGTTTAATAGGTTGTCCATTATATTTCGCTGTATTGTGTGTGTGTGTGTGTGTGTGTTTTTTTTTTTTATAGTACTACAATTATAGATTATTTAGGAGTGTGTGTTATAGTACTACTATCATAGATTAAGACTCTTCTCCCTTTTGAAGTCGTTTTGTTACCTTGATAAACGGTTCTTATGTATTTTCTCTTTAATTTGTTTGAAATAATGGAATTTTCATGTCGCATTTCACATATAAATTAATTTTAATGTTGACAATATTCTCAACTGGAGGCGGCAGACGGCTGCGACCACATCCAAATTAATTAGAGTGAAAAATACGGTAGTTGAATAGCACCATAAAACATGTCATTCCTAACAATATTCTTTTTTGTTAATATTTCTTTTCCCAAATTCTTAATTGCCGAACAAATTTACATTTCCAAAAGTACTTATTATGAAGGTGACCAGTAGACACACCATAAAATAATTTATTGAATGATTTAAAAAGGCACAAAAAACTGGACAGTCAAAACGGGATTGAAGTAATGAATTGAGAAGGATAGCCACAAATCAAACAATGCCTGATAAATAACATTAAAAATCAATCTACTTGATACGTTCATTAAACATATGCATGAGTAAAAAGTTATATAGTGTGCAGTGAAATCAGCTTTGCTAATTGATCAATTTGTCCATTATAATTAAGGTTCTGATGTTCAGATCAACATTACTCCAAACTGTTGAAAGCAGTGGTTTATAATTTTGTCAGATATGGAAAATGATAAGTATAGTGATAAAAAAATAGTGACTGATGTGGAGTATTATGATCCTTATTTGTATGTCATTTTTCTTTTGAAATTTTATTTTCCAACAAAAATTATATTTTTACCTTTACTTATTAAATACACATATTTAGTGGATGTAATGTTTTTATCTTTTCATAAGTCATTATTGCACTTCACTATAAATTGTCACCTTCCCTATCATTGCTTGTCGGATATATGTGCAAATCTCCCATCTCACTAAAATTTGGGGTTAATTACACAAGGTAAAGATAGTGTTTTGATTAAGTTCCAAAGTTCTAACAGTTCTGTTTTTCATATCTACTGGAAGACTCGTTGAGGTACTCATTTTTTTCTTTAGAAAGAGGAAGATCGGAATACTACTTGACCATTGAAGGGAAATCAATTGAATGGAGGGCTTTAACTTTAGACTGCAACAACTGGCAACCAAATACTATGTCCATTTTGATACGACTTTCAGATTGGATTTTACGTTTTAGTACATATTATAAAATTTCAAACTACACAATTATTTAAGATGGAAAAAGTATCAAATAAGAAAAACATAAAATCAAATCATGAATTAGTCCTTCTCTCTCTTTCTGTTTTTGTTTTTGTTTTTTTTTTTTGGTTTGGGCGGTTGGATAGAATGGTAATATTTTGATCGTTATCACGATTTATCAAAAGAGTGATGATTGATACAAAGAAAAAATGATAAGGAGAAATTACAAGAAAATGATCTCAACAATCTATTATTAGAACTTTTCAAATTGGGTTTATGCATTTAAGGTTATGGTATAGTTAAGATCTTGTCGCATCATTCTTTGTTATTTTTCTTTGTCATTTTTTCTTGTACCTATAACTACTCTTATCAAAAAGGAAAAAAACGTTAAATAAGCCACATTAATTCTCGACATAAAAAACAACACATACGACACCTAGTGAAATCAAACTAATTATGTCAGGATGCGTGTAATAGAAAATATATAAGTTGTAACAAAGTGATCAAGTAATCATTTGAATATGTGACCAAATCGAAAGAAAGAGAAATGTAACGTTCTCGTTACGCCTCACAACTAGTTATTATAGATGGCCGAACGAATTTAAAATGCTCAAAACATTCTAACTTGCTTCAAGTTTTGACATCGATTTTTCCTTTTGCCGCACCAAATTCTCGATGGCCGATCCAACTTAAATGTCCAAAACATTCTAACTTGCATCCGGTTTTAACATCGTCGGCTCGGGACATCTATATATATGTGTAAGGTTTTGAAATTGAGGTTGCATCAAAATCGCCACTTAAACCCATTGCAAATTTCTGAATTTCAGCAAAAGGGAAATGGAGAAGAAAGATGATCAGTTCGAAGAATTTTTCCAAACATTGCTCAAAAGCATGCTTGCGGCACTGTGTTTGCTCAATACAAAGGCTTCTGGTTTGGTGCGCCTTTTCTTCATGGCATAATAACGTTCCGTAAGCACTTTGAGTCTCAAAATTCAGACATAATCTTAGCCACAGTGCCTAAATCAGGTACCACTTGGCTCAAAGCCCTAACCTTTAGTATTATTAACCGGAAAAAGTTTTCGATTTCAAATACGCCTTTATTCTTCAACAATCCTCATTTACTTGTCCGTTTCTTTGAAACCGGTATATACAACGGAGGAAAACTTCCCACGACTTAGATAATCCGCCACTCATGTACCTTTCCAGTGGCTTCCAGACACGATCTTAGATAATCCGGGTTGTCGAATTATCTATCTTTGTAGAAATCCTTTGGATGTGTTTACCTCCACGATACATTTCCTTTCAAAAAATGGTTTGTTTCCTCAAGGGTTTCAATCAATTGCTATGGGTGGAGCTTTTGAGTCATTTTGCGAGGGGATATTTCATTATGGTCCATTTTGGGATATTGGAAAGAAAGTTTAAATGATCATGAAAGAGTTTTGTTCTTGAAATATGAAGATCTTAAAAGGGACATGAATTCTAGCGTGAAGAAAGTGGCTGAATTCTTGGGATGCGGGTTTTCGCCGCGAGAAGAGGATGAAGGGTTGGTTGAAGAGATAGCTAAGCTTTGCAGCATTGAAAACTTAAAGAACTTGGAATGTAAGAAAAATGGTGAGATGTCACAGTTTGTTCTTAAAACTGCTCGTAGTTCATTTTTTCAGGAAAGGAGACGTTGGAGATTGGGTAAATTTTCTTACTCCTTCCATGGCTAAACGTATTGAAAACTTGATGGAAGAAAAATTTGCTGAATCTGGTCTGACTTTAGATATTTATGGCTAAAATGCTACGAAAAAGTTATGGTAGCCGCTTCTGGCCCAACTACTCGATCTGCAGACAATTCAAGGCATAGATATATGGCACAAACAACAGAGTTCGGATACGGTTTGGCAAGTCCATTGTTATGTTTGATTTCTATTTTTTGTATTTCAGAGTTTTTACCAATATATACAATATAAGCCTTTTCTTTTGAAATTAAATATATGTCTTATCATTCATGAACTTTGCTATGTTTCTCTTGCAATTTGTTTGGGATTAGTCGGATTTTTCTATCACATATAAATTGCTACTAATTTTCTTATCGAATAGAGATTTGTAGTTTTCAATATTATATATTTTATTTTTTTAGAAAAGAACGAGCCATGAGTCTAAACTATTACATTACGTGAATGAATAACTACAGGATTATACCATATTCCAATATGGTTTCGCATTCTTATTATAGAATGGACGAAATTCTTCCTTTCCCTATCTTGCGCACGCAGCTAAAAATAGTAAGAGGCTGAGTGATATTGAACCAAATGCTTCAGACAATTAAGAAACTAATAATGTTGACAGACGAATGATCTTTAAGAAAAAGTCGACCCTCGGTCAAGGATCGAAGACTTTGTAACCGTCTTAAACACAACCTATAATCGAAATGGCTAATTAGTCATTACTCCCTAATTTTTGAAATGATTGTCCAATTATTAGATTGTTTTTAATATAATAAATAAGACATGTTAATTGATAATAGACTTTATCATTGAATGAATAGACAATTAGCTTGATTCCAATTATTACATGCATCGCCTGCTGGTCATGATATATATATATATATATATATATATATATATATATATATATATATACATACATGTGTGTGTGTTATGGACGGATCGAATTGAAACGGTAAGAGAATTATGCGTGAAACCTTCCATTTTCTACAAATTTGGAAGTTATGGCCGTCTGTTTGCTTCTCTTATTAATTTGTTATTCCTTATTTAATTTATGCTCCATATATCCCAAGATAATTGTCCAAGTATATCATTTTAGTACAACAAATGCGAGATTACATTATCCCATAATAATCATGTAACTAATGTCTACTAAATTACATTAAATGCAAATCTCTTTCGCATATTCACAAACTATATGCACTGATTACCATGATTTTCATGCCAAAGTCACCTTTGCTAACTAATTTGTGTATTAAGGTCTAGTGTTCTTATCGCAAGGTGACGGTTAAGTATGTTATAATATATAGTAAAATGCTTGTACTCTTTTTGTAGTTTCTAGTCCTACTCAGTCAAACTCTTGTTTGACCAGATCAAAATATTGATTTTCTTCTCAAATTCCAGGCAAATCCCAAAAGGAACACATCCACATAAGTTTATAAGTAGTCTTAAAAAATAAGGCTGCATCAACTTGCCAATATTAACCATAACTCATTCCTTTTAACTTTTCAATCTTGCAAGCATTCAGAATTATCAATCCATCGAGAATCTCTCAAGGAGAAAATGGAGAAAAAAGACGATCAATTTGAAGAATTTTTCAAAACATTGCCACAAAAGCATGCATGCGGCAGTTTGTTTGCACAATACAAAGGCTTCTGGTTTGATGGAGCATTTCTTCATGGCGTAATAACTTTCTATAACCACTTTGAAGCGCATAATTCAGACATCATCTTGGCCACCATCCCTAAAGCAGGTACTACATGGCTTAAAGCCCTAACTTTCAGCATTGTTAATAGAAAAAAATATTCAATTCCCGATAGCCCTTTGCTCTTCAATAACCCTCATCTGCTTGTCCCTTTCCTGGAAGCCAGTCTATACAACAAGGGAAAAGTTCCCAATGTGAAATCTATCCCTAGCCCACGAATTTTCGCCACTCATATACCCCTCCAATGCCTTCCAAACACAATTTTAGGTAATTCTAGTTGTCGGATTATCTATCTTTGTAGAAACCCCTTGGACCTATTTACCTCCTCCATACATTTCTTGATACAAAATGGTTTGTTTCCTCAAGAGCCAGAATCCATGGATGGAGCTTTTGAGTCATTTTGCGAGGGAATATTTCAATATGGTCCATTTTGGGATCATATGTTGGGATATTGGGAAGCAAGCATAAAGGATTCTAATAAGGTTTTGTTCTTGAAATATGAAGATCTTAAAAGGGACATCAATTCTTTTGTGAAGAAAATTGCTGAGTTCATGGGATATGGTTTTTCACAACTAGAAGAGGATGAAGGAATGGTGGAACAAGTAGCAAAGCTTTGCAGCCTTGAAACTTTAAAGTACTTGGATTGTAACAATAAAGGGGGGTCATCACATTCGGTTATTAAAGTTGCATTTAGATCATTTTTCAGGAAGGGAAAAGTTGGAGATTGGGCAAATTTTCTTACTCCTACCATGGCTAAACGCCTTGAAGATTTGATGAAAGAAAAGTTTAAAGATACTGGTCTAACTCTAACCATCCATGACTAAAAGTGGTACGGAGCAAGGACGACTACTTGTTATTTTTGTTGTTTTTTGTTTTCAATTCATTTATAATTAGTTACACACTGAAATTTTCTTTTATCAACAGGAGAACCTTGATTTGGTATTTATATTGACCTATTTGAATGAAAATTTTGAAGTCCGTGACATTAATGATTACACTTTTAGCAACGTACTAGGTGTACTTCATTAACGTCCCGACTATTTTAGATTTTCAAATTGTTGAACACGAATTGAGCTTGCAGAGTTTTAGGTCTTTGATGCCTGCATCATTTTTTTTCTTTTTTTGAATTTTATCCTTAATGAACATGATTAAATAGTACTCTTTCTTAATTTGTTATAATTTTAATTGGAAAGTTAACTATTTTTTTTTTATGACGAAGAAAGTTGAAAAATTTAGATATAAACTTAATTTCTTTAGCATTGGTACATCAAAGTATACATCAAGGACCAGCCCACATCCCTTCGGTACAACACCGGTACAACATTGTTGTTACTATAATAATTTATGAGCATTGTGTGCATTTAATTTTCTAAAGGGCATTATGTCACTACAACAAAAATGAGTAATTTAGACATTTTTTTGTGTCTCAATAAGTGGTGTAATAAGACACATATGATTCACATTGCGTGGGACACTACTAAATAGTGTCTCCTATAATCGAGTCACAATAAGTCATAAAACATTTGAAAGTGTATTATTAGATTGTCAGTTATTAAGACACTTTAAAGTGACCCATTAAGTAGGGTAATAGTTCACAAGCAACCCCACATAGTACACTTATGATAGTGTTTCATAATATCCATACACTTTTTCATTTTTAATAAGACACTTTTTAGCAAATGTCCTAATACACATATAATGAGACACATTTTAGAAAAAGTGTCCCACTATAAAGGTATTAATAGCCTATTTTTGTTGTAGTGTGTATTCCTCGTGCAAGTTGTAAATTAAAATTATTTGTTACATTCTTCCATTTGTGCTCCTACTTTTTAATTGGAGATTACCTTATACTCTCTCACAGAAAAGTTTAGAAGCACTAATGGAAAAAAGTTGAAAATGACTTGAAAATTCTTAAACGTTCTTTGTGTATCTATGCTTCATATGCAGAGGAAAAGTGACAATGTATTGTTAGACCCAAGCTAATTTGTCCTCAATAATTCTTAGGAGGGCCACTACATCATTGGGTTGGTTAAATGAGATCAATCATCCGTAAGTTTGCAATTTTTACACCTTTGAACAACTTAGTTAAATTTCTGATCTTCGTCAAATTTACATTTGGTTCATAATTAAAACCCAGCTACTCGAACAATTATGTAAAAATTGTCATCTATCATATCCAATATTCAGCTCCCAATGGCCAATATGCATGAGCCTGAATTTAATAAAGTTTTGTTCGGTTGCACTTACTCAAGGTACTGTTTTATCCATAATTTTCTTTTTTTTTTTTTGGTTAGTTTAATCTATTCTCTTACATCTGCGACATGAATTTTTAGTATTTCAAATGCAAAAAGAACAAAGTAAAAAGAAGCGTTTTAAACAGCGCATTGAGTGATTTGATGGGATGTCTAAAAAATTAGCTACAAAACGAAACAAAAAGTTTAAGGACCACAGGTATGTCTTTTTCCAATCAATTAGTATCTTTATGAACTCTTAACATAATAGTGGAATCATTGTCCTATTGTTTCGGACTCACCTTCAGTGTCCACAGTTCATAATCTCGTAATCGAAAAATCACGTACTTGTGCACAATCTGCCAGGACATATGGAGAAAAAGGATGAAAATTTTGAAGATTTTTTCCAAAAATTACCACAAAAGGATGCAAGCGGCAGTGTGATAGCTCAATACAAAGGCTTTTGGTTTGATGCTGGTTTGCTTCATGGTACAATAACATTCCATGATCATTTCAAAGCCAATGATTCGGACATCATATTAGCCACCATGCCTAAATCAGGTACCACATGGTTAAAAGCCCTAACCTTTAGTATCATTAACCGGAAAATATACTCAAATATTCTGGATAGTCCTCTGCTCTTCAACAATCCGCATCAACTTATACCCTTTCTCGAAACCCATCTTTACGAAGAAGGCAAAGTTCCTGATATAAACTCCATCCCAAGCCCGCATATTTTCTCGACGCATATACCTTATCAGTGCCTTCCAAACACGATCTTAGTTGATTCCGGTTGTCGGGTCATCTATATTTGTAGAAACGCTTTGGAAATATTTACTTCAATGCGATATTTCACATTGCAAAATGGTTGGGTGCGGCCGGATTCCATGTACACTGATGGTGCTTATGAATTATTTTGTGAAGGTACTACTCAATATGGTCCATTCTGGGATCATGATTTGGGTTATTGGGAAGCAAGCTTAAAAAATCCTAAGAAAATTTTGTTCTTGAAATATGAAGATCTTAAGAAGGATGTCATTTCTTGCATGAAGAAACTGGCTGAGTTCTTGGGATGTGGGTTTTCACCACAGGAAGAGAGTGAAGGGTTGGTTTAAGAAATAGCCAAGGTTTGCAGCATTGAAAACATAAAGAATTTGGAATGTAACCAAAAAGGTGAGACTTCGAGCAACGTTCACAGAGCTATCCATTGTTCATTTTTCAGGAAGGGAGAAATTGGAGATTGTGTCAATTTTCTTACTCCTTCCATGGCTGAACACCTTGAGAGCGTGATGAAAGAAAAGTTTAAGGAATCTGGTTTGAGTCTTTGTATTCATGGCTAAATCATGTCTTCCATGTTTTCTACCCAAAAAGGGGGTGCTTGACTTTTGGGTGAGCCAAACCCAAAAGTGTGGAACAAAAAATGTGTAGGGTTTATTTTGTAGACAAATATAATCTTCTCGCATTTTGAAAACGCGAAAAAATCAAATTAGATTAACATTTCGCGTTTCACAAACGCGAATAATGTTAATTCCATGCACTCAGATTCAAACGGGTCGAAAGCAAAAAAAAAAAAAAGAAAAATAGGTTTTTCGCGTTTTAGAAACGCGAAAAACGTAAGACGCGTTTGCAAAGCGCGAAACTTTGTTTTCGCCTTTGCAAAGCGCGAAACTTTCTTTTCGCATTTTCAAAACGCGAGAAACTATTTTCGCGTTTAAAAAATGCGAAAATCTGTAAGTTTAAAAGTGTAAATTTTGCAAATAAGAATTTAGCGTTTTGAAAACGCGAAACAAAATTTCTAGCGTTTTTAAAGCGCGAAAAATAGATTTAGCGTTTTTAAAACGCGAAAATATCCAGAAAATCTCCTCATCCACTCACCCGTCTCCACGTATATTTTTTATGATAAGTCTGGAATGTATTCGCGTTTGTTAAACGCGAAATTTAAGATTCATATATAAAACAAGCTTTAACAGCATTTCTCCACAAATTTCTTTCATTGTTCAGCTCCGAATTTTCTTTCCAAATTTCTTTCATTCTGTTGAACTCCGATTTTAAGTTTTACTCCGGAGGACTTGCTGAATTCGTGAAAACTCTCATTTTCTTCAAATTGAGAAGTTGCTCCGAGGTTAAAGAAGATTGATTTGAGTCCTGAAGCCTATTTAAAACTCTAAGTTTTAACATTGAGGTAAGTTTATTTCGTTATTAAAAACATGTACTTTTTTATGTTTTATTATGAGCATAGGATGATTTACGCATTATTATTAGTTAATATATAATTGTGATTTAGTCAATTAACGGTGGTTTTTTATTGAGGCTGATAAAGTAAATTGAAAGAAATATTAGTTAATAGAATATTAAATTAGATGAGCATTGTAAATTATTGTACATCGATTTCTGTAAAATAAAATAAAATTATAATAATGATATTGAATTTTGAATATTTACTGAGATAAGAATAAATTATGTAATTCGGGCATAAGGTTTAGATTTAATATTAATTTTGAGCATACAAATGAATTTGTAAATTCAGGCGTATAGTTGTTATTTTAAAATTATTAAATCAGAACGGGGTAAATACTATGGCCGCAAACCGATTTCGTAGGAATTGATTTTGCAGCCGCAAATGTTTCACGGAGACAGTTAAATGCGAAATTATCTTGGAATACTACTTATACAACCGAACTCGATGGGACTATCACGGTACAATGGGATGCGCCGGACGGTTATCTTATCATTGATCGTATGTTAGATTTCTCGGAACTTGTTGATAAGGTATTAAGTGTGATCGGAGTTGATAGAGAAGGGCTTTATATTGATTTTTCTTTGGTATGGACGGAGAGGTCGGGAAAAGGTCTCGTGTGCACATTAATGATGATAATACTGTTCGGTTCATTTATCTTTGTGCCGATAAATGGCCGAATTGTACCCGAAAATGTTGAGAGAACAGGCCATGTTTATGCAAGTACATCGGCCAGATATTGGTGCCGGCACTAGTGGTGGTAGAACAGTTGAAGACAATGAAGATGGAGATGAAGATGGAGATGAAGATAAAGATGAAGATAAAGATGAAGATGCAAATGAAGATGAAGATGTCGGGGGTGTCGAAAGCAGTGATGATGAGTACGTCCCATCGGATGAGGACTCAGATGACGACACTGATTTTGAGTCATCTTCTTCAGTCCCATATGTTTTCGACGACATAAGTGGATGGGACAAGACTTTAGAGGAAGTAGAAAACGATGGAATTAAAATGTGGGATGGCAATCCGTTGACGCTAGGCCTTGATATACATTTCGCCAACAAGCCTGAGGCACAAGCGGCAGTGGGAGAATGGAACTTGGTACATGGTCGGACTTTCCGGGTGAAAACGAGCTCTAAACGAACATGGTATGTCGAATGCGAGACGTGTGGACCTAAATATCCGAAAGAGTGCCTTCACGGCTATGATTGTCTGTGGAAGGCGCGAGTTTCGCTACAGAAGGCCACCGATACTTGGAAAATGGTGGTATGGTCCGATTCCCACAACCTGTCTTGGGGCAAACAAGAGAAACGAGTCCCGAAATGTCACGTCTTCTATGATTGCTAGACTGGTTGCCCAAAATGTGCGAAAACATCCAGATTTTGCAGTTGCCCAAATTCAAATAGAAGTGATGAAGAGGTACCAAGTCGAATGTAGCTACAAGAAGGCATGGCATGGTAGAAGAAAAGCACTTGAGGCTCAGTATGGTACATGGGAAAGTAATTTTCAACAATTGCCCAGCTTCCTCAATGCATTGTTCATGTCAAACCCGGACACTTGTGTGCAATTCAAGTTTAAGGAAAATTCAGGAAGCTCACAAAGGTTTGTATGTAGGTATGTTTTCGGGCATTTGGGCCATCTATACGCTTATTTCATGCTTGTTGGCCAAGTAATAACCATCGATGCCACTCACCTGCGAGGATCCTACAAAGGAAAACTAATTGTGGCATGCGTAAAGTGCGCAAATGGCACGATTGTTCCCATCGCATTTGCTCTTGTGGACGAAGAGACTATACACACTGGAAATGGTTTTGAAGTATTTGAAAAGTTTGTTCTACGGGATAGGAAGACTGTATTATCTCCGATCGAAATCGGGGTATCCTTACCGCCATGGACATCATGTTGCAAAAATTCCCAGAGATGGGCATCCACCGTTATTGTCTAGAGCATGTTAAAGCAAACTTGGTTGGGCATTTTCGAAAGGAGAAACTGCGAGGCAACTGTCAAATGATTGGTTCAGCGACGCAAAAGACAAGGTTCTTGGCAGAGTGGCAAAAATTAGAAGAAAAAAATGAGCCTGCTGCTCGTTGGCTTCAGAAGCTGGGTGTTGAGAAATGGACCTGTTTACACGATGGAGGGCATCGTTGGGGAGAAATGACCACTAACATTTTAGAGAGTTTCAATAATGTGCTGAAAGGTGCTAGATTCTTCCCGATCACAGCATTGATCCTAGCATCCTTTCAGAAAAGCAACAACTGCTTTGTGCAAACATTGATATGATCCAAAATGTCAGACTGTTCTACCTCCTACTCCAATGAAACTGTATGAAGAGGCCCGGAAGAAATCGTTGAGGCAAAAGGTCAACCGGTTTAGCAAGAGAAACCAGAAGTACGAAGTGGTTACAATAGCACCTGATAATCAACCATGGAAGGCTGACGAGAAGCAAGTTGTGCTGTATGCAAATCGAGAGTGCACTTGCGGAAGGTGGCAGACTTTCAGATTTCCTTGTTCCCATGCACTTCGAGTTGCCCGTGAGCTAGGTGACGATCCCTTTCCACTTTTTGATCCATGTTACACTACGCATCAATGGTACCAACAGTTTTCTGGAGAATTCAACCCAATCATGGAACCATGGCCAAAGGCAACGTGGCAGATCAGGCCAGATGACACTAAACTTGTCCACCATGCTGGCCGAGGTCGGAAGCGTGTGAATCGAAAAAAAGGTGTGATGGATTATACAAGCAAATCTGGCCAGCGAAGACTCCAAACTTGCAGTTTATGTAAGCTACAAGGCCATAATGCCAGGGCTTGCCCATATGCGAGAGTTTGCGCACGATGTGGAAGTTTAGATCATGATGCTGTCGAATGCCCTTTTTCTCATCCACCTGCTGACAGGACCGGTATTGATAAACTGTATGATCCATATGGAATTCATGGTGTGCCTAATATCAATTCTGATGATGATGATGATGAAGCGTAGTGATTATTCTGTTAGTGTTCGTATTTTTGTATTGTTTTGAAAATTCATGTAGTAAACCTCAGAGGATGATTCAGTTTGCGTTTGTATTTGTTTTACTATGTTGGTTTGGATGTTTCTGTAATTTATATTAGTAATGTTTTTGTAAAACCGAAACGTCGCAGTTCATTTTAGTAATATTATTAATTATTACTATAGGATATATACATGTCGAATAAAGCACTAGTTATTTGATAAACAATAAAGGTAAGAAAATTAGTTATTTGTCATCACCGAAATTAATATAACCATATATCCGGCTCAAAGAATAAACGACTAAAATTTTAAATTGGGGGAGTATTATTCTCGCGTTTGTGAAACGCGAAACAAGGGGGAGTATTTTTTTCGCATTTCAGAAACGCGAAAATAGGGAGGGCATTATTTTCGCGTTTCTGAAACGTGATTTTACTTAAAGCTTGGTTGTTTTCGCGTTTTAGAAACGCGAAAATGGGTGCATAAATTAAATTTTCGCGTTTCGGGTTGATGTTTCTCAAACAGAACCATATATCCGGCGTAATCCATTGAAACCGGCGGTTTTTCCGGGAGAGTTGCCGGAATTGTTTCGGCATCAATTTTTTGCATTTTGTAAGCTATATATCGAGGTAAGTTGTGTTTTTTGGTGTGATTTAATCGTTTCTTTTTAATTCATGTTTTAATTTTTGATTCCTATAAATTTTGTGTTCGTTTTATTTGTAATTTTATTTCCCGATTTAATGAATCGTTAATAGATCTAGTATTATAGGTGTTGTAATTGTGGAATTTTTAAAAATTCGGGTTTGGGTTGGGTGAAAAAATTGGGAATGAATGGGAGGGGGCGGCGGAATGAAGGGGAGGGTGGGGGCGTGGCGGAATGAAGGGGAGGGTGGGGGCGGCGGCGGAATGAAGGGGAGGGTGGGGGCGCGGCGGAATGAAGGGGAGGGTGGGGGCGGCGGCGGAATGCAGGGAGGGTGGGGGCGGCGGCGGAATGAAGGGGAGGGTGGGGGCGGCGGCGGAATGAAGGGGAGGGTGGGGGGCGGCGGCGGAATGCGGGGAGGGTGGGGGCGGCGGCGGAATGAAAGGGAGGGGGCGGCGGCGGAATGAAGGGGAGGGGGCGGCGGGGAATGCGGGGGTGTAGAGAGGGGTAGGTTTAGGGTTTATGGTTGGGCTTAGGGTTTGTGGGGTGTTGGGCTTAGGGGTTTAGGGTTTGGGGATTGGGTTGGGTTTAGAATGTGGGTTTAGGGTTTGGGGATTGGGTTGGGTTTAGAATGTGGGTTTTTTGGGTTGGGGATTGGGTTGGGTTTAAAATATGAATTTTGGGTTGGGTTTAGAATGTGGGTTTTGGGTTGGGGATTGGGTTGGGTTTAGAATATGAGTTTTGGATAATAAAATGTAGGGTTGGAATTTTGAATGTATAGGATAATTAGATTAGAATAATAATATTAATCTGTATTTACTAAAATGTAGGGTTAAAATATTTAATAAAATAATAATTAGATTAGAATAATAATATTAATCCGTATTTACTAAAATGTAGGTTTGGAATTTTGAATGTATAGGATAATTAGATTAGAATAATAATATTAAACCGTATTTACTAAAATGTAGGGTTAAAATATTTAATAAAAGAATAATTAGATTAGAATAATAATATTAATCCGTATTTACTAAAATGTAGGGTTAAAATATTTAATAAAAGAATAATTAGATTAGAATAATAATATTAATCTGTATTTACTAAAATGTAGGTTTGGAATTTTGAATGTATAGGATAATTAGATTAGAATAATAATATTAATCCGTATTTACTAAAATGTAGGGTTAAAATATTTAATAAAAGAATAATTAGATTAGAATAATAATATTAATCTGTATTTACTAAAATGTAGGTTTGAAATTTTGAATGTATAGGATAATTAGATTATAATAATAATATTAATCCGTATTTACTAAAATGTAGGGTTAAAATATTTAATAGAAGAATAATTAGATTAGAATAATAATATTAATCCGTATTTACTAAAATGTAGGGTTAAAATATTTAATAAAAGAATAATTAGATTAGAATAATAATATTAATCTGTATTTACTAAAATGTAGGTTTGGAATTTTGAATGTATAGGATAATTAGATTAGAATAATAATATTAATCCGTATTTACTAAAATGTAGGGTTAAAATATTTAATAAAAGAATAATTAGATTAGAATAATAATATTAATCTGTATTTACTAAAATGTAGGTTTGAAATTTTGAATGTATAGGATAATTAGATTATAATAATAATATTAATCCGTATTTACTAAAATGTAGGGTTAAAATATTTAATAAAAGAATAATTAGATTAGAATAATAATATTAATCCGTATTTACTAAAATGTAGGGTTAAAATATTTAATAAAAGAATAATTAGATTAGAATAATAATATTAATCTGTATTTACTAAAATGTAGGTTAAAATATTTAATAAAAGAATAATTAGATTAGAATAATAATATTAATCCATATTTACTAAAATATAGGGTTAAAATATTTAATAAAAGAATAATTAGATTAGAAGAAAAAAGAATAATAATATTAATCCGTACTTACTAAAACTATTTGTAAATTGTACTAGCCATGGACATTGGATCATCTTCTTCCTCCCAATCTACCTCAAAGAAGCTACGGCAGGGACCCAGAGACAGTAGTTTGTTGTTTCTCCAAAACACCCATAGGTCACACAATATATTCCATGGTGCACAGTATGATATAGGGGTTTCGGAGCCCAGGCGCGTAGATAGCGCCGCGTGGAAATTAATAAAAGATGCACCGAGTTTGACAAAGGAATATATTGAGAAATTTGGTTTTGGACCGTTCTCTAGAGTTGGGTCCATCAGATGTGACCATGCCCTGCTTACAGCTCTTGTGGAGCGATGGCGCCCAGAGACCCATACATTTCATTTACCTTTTGGGGAGGCTACTATCACACTCCAGGACGTCGAGGTTCTTTTGGGCCGTCGGGTTGATGGACGTCCAGTTACAGGACATCACACCACGCCTGATGGTGGTTGGGCAGCCTATTTGGAGAGGATGTTTTGATTTAGGTTCCAGACAGAGGAGTCTAGATTGACGAGTGTTTCCATCACTGAAATAAAGACTCACATAGAGAATAATCCTTTGACGGACTGTCCCCGACGATGCACACCTACAATGAGCCCGTTGTTTTGTTGGATGGCTCGTTGGCGGATTCTTGTTCTCAAACACTACGAGCTTGATTTTCCTCTCGATCTTGTGCATTTTCTTCATACTCCCGAGATTTGCTCTGAGTACGGTTGGGGTAGTGCGGCACTATGTTACTTGTACCGCAAAGATGTCCAGTCATCTCGCCGCTTCGCCAAGGCTATTACCTACTGTGTGATTCTTCTTCGTATTTTATCTTTTCATTTCTCTCTAGTTTCATTTTATATTCTCCCATTATTATTGGTGATTTTAGCTAATGATTTCTTCATTCTGAATTAGCTCTGGGCCTGGGAGCGGATTTTGACGGTTCAACCCAAGATACTGGGTAGGGATCTCGATCTATCTGATTGTCCATTGGGCACGAGGTAATCTTATACATCAAACCTTCGTAAATTTTGACATTTTGATTTGTACTGTCATGTCTCAATTTAATGTTACTTTCTCCGCGCAGTGGTCCCGCGAGAAAAAGTTCAAGGTATCACGCGGTTCAATTTGGCGCGTATCGGGATCGCCTTGCGTTCTCGCAGAGTCGATGTTAGTATTCTATTCAATTAGTATAACTTATGTTTTATTCGTTTTTTTAACGGTGTCGAACTTTTAATTACACGTCTCTTACTTAATTACCATTGCGGTTTGTCTCGGATGCCGTACACGACTCTTTTGGGTCGTATTGCCGTGGTTTGTCTTGTGGGACAGGCATATGGTGATCTCGGACATGGCTCATCTGCGGTGATGTCGTTGCGCCACACAACCCCAAAGAGGGTATTTCGCCAATTTGGTTATCACCGGCGGATACCCGCGACGCATTACTTCTCACTGCGGCGGAAATTACTAGCCCGCTCAAGAGGAAGCCGTTTGGAGGATCCGATAGGAGATGGTTACAACAACTAGGCATATATCTCCAGGTTTGGAATGATCGCCACGGCCAAGTTGTGGGGACTGATGATCTTTATGTTGGCGAGCCTTCCGCAGATCCGGAGTATCTCTTGTGGTACCATCAGGTTACTGTGAAGTATGTTACGAATCCGACGGACTCGAAAATGCGAGGGTTTTCACGGTTCTGCAGAGACCTTGCGCCTCATGGTGAGTATTTCGCCTACAGTCCATTTGGTTCTTTTTATTAACACTGTTGTCGATTTATGATTCTTTCTAATAAAAATTTCAGGCCACATTGATGGAGGACGTTCGTAGTCTGAGTATTATAGGCCAGCGTACTTTCGACGCGGACTCCTTTGGTTATGATCGCTTAGGCGAGATTGCCCAGGTTGCTGAGCGGGCGTTGTCCGTCAATGCAACAAATGTTGTACGGCACGATCTCGATAGGCATGTTGAGGTTCATGACATTTTGAGTCAAGAACTTGCACCTGTGGACCCGACCCAGCAACATCCACCACCTGCACCTCCGAGGCGTTCGTGCGGTGTCTCGGCGTGGGCGTGGGGGCAAGAGACAATCACAACATCTCAGCCACATCAGTCCTCCCAAAGATGAGCAGCCTCATATTCCCTTCACCGGCGGTTCATCCCATCGGTCTCCACATCGTCTCCACTCCATTCTCGACAGCATTCAGCCCATCGGCCTCCACATCATTCATCCCATCGTCTCCACATCATTCTTCGCCGACCCATCAGCGTTTTACCGTCCGATTATGTCTCCCAAAGACCAAGAAAGTCAATTTTTCCTTCACTCGTTTTCCTCCCCGACTTCTCGGCGTCGGTTTGGAGATTCTTTTATTGACTTTTCCGGGTTTCAGCAGAGTTCGCTAGATG